ATATATATATATATATATATATATATATATATATCACACATGTGGAAAATTTTAAATATTTACAATATATATGGCCACTGTTATGCTGAATCTTATATTAATATTAATATTAATATTAATAACAATTGTCTTTAACAGTTTGTACTAATGGGTCCGTTTTAAGATTATATTTCTCCGACTTGTGCAGCGAATCTATCTAATCAAGATAAATATAAACAAAAGTAATACGTAGATATTGCACGTTGCTCTTTTGCACTAAACACTCGATTCCATTTCGAGTCTCGTACTTACATAGTAGTACGCTAAATAGATTGGGAATTAAAGTGAAATTAATAATATATGCATATCAAAGGAATTATGTGATATGTGCGTAATGTCACCATATTCAAGACATATATCCGGGACGGGTATTTGGTGCATCAGGGAAACGAGCGAATTGATTCTTTGCATTTATGAGATCTAAACGCGAAAAATATAATAGCCTACCGAGTTTCTTCATGCAAAAATAGACTTCTCTTGACAGAAGAAAGGGAAACTGTTGACTCATACTGTATAAGCAATCAGTATATGATAAGCTTCAGTGTCGAGATCATTTCATCACATATCCTACATTTATATCGATATGTACGAGTCGCAGTATTTCGCGCTTAAAAAGCTCAACCTACAGTGCGGTCGCAGTCGTTGGTCCACTTCCAATTTCAGTGGAATACGGTCAATCCAATCGCTGGAATTGAACCGAATGACTGCACTTTCACAACTTTACGATGTCAACGACCGCATTGCAGATCTCATTGTAGAATTGCACTCGTTGTTAATCCCGAGTAGGACAGAAAATCACGTCAAAATGACTTCATCGTCATTTTCCGTTCTACTTGAGACACTCATTAGACACAGTCGTCTTCTACTACATACTTAAGTGCTGGTCTCTTTGATATCGTTATAAATATACAATTTCGTCTTAATATTATTACGGGATGATTAGAACACTTTTCTAAATCAGCCTTTGTCTCGTTAAATACATTTTGTTTAAATACATCGTCGCTCACTCGGGTCATACTGGGACAAATCCGAAATTGCATTGTTGTGATGTGTACGACTGAGCAATACATGTTGAGCATATCAACGTCGCTCCTCGTTCAATTCTCAGCTTCTTCAAAACACTGTTTTACGATTATTGAAAACATAGGGACAATACCTCCGTGCGATGATGGCGTAAGGTACGTTGCTGTCCACTCGTACCTGTTCGGCGTTACTCAATTTGTTCCACACGTGGATCGCCTTCGCTTTGTTCAGTATCTTCATCGTCTCGTTATTCTCTTTGGTCTCGAAATATTTCTTCCATTTCTTATAGTGGACCGGGTAGAAGACTGACGGCGGGTAGACGGCGAAACCATGGCAACGGGCAGTCGTCATATCGCGTGCCTGCAATATTAAGGTGTATGTTTAGTTTCTTTAACTAATAATTGAAAAAATATTTGCAAAGGACTTTTTTGTTTAGAGTGGCCTAATATATAAGTACAGCTGTTGTATCTAACGAGAGGTTCGAAGTTTTCAAGGTTCAATATGTTGTACATTCAAATATATATATTATATTGTACATTTACAATACCGTAGCGAATCGGTGAGAAAAAACTCGATGCTTTCTCGTCCGCTTATGCGAAGTGCATTTTTGAATGAAATAATATCTCTAATCTTTCATTAACAGAGCAACAGAGCGACATTCGCCGCATCTAGGGAATTGAATTCGATGAAACGAGTCTTTCTGATAAGCGGACACATCTTATATTGTTACGCCCGTGTCTTGATGCCCGCGCTTTTAGCGCCCTGAACATACAGCTGATTCTCTTGGCAACGAGTCGTAAACAACAGATGATCAGCGTTGACGGATAAACAACGGGTTAGAGAGATTCTCTCTGGGGCGGTCGAGTCGTCGTGACGTGCGCGACGGTCTTTAACGAAAGAGAGAACTTGAACCTGCGAGTTACGCGTGCTTCCTTGTAAATAGCAAATATAGTTGAAGTTGTTTTCCTTTTAACGTTGTCTCATTTCCCCGCGCGAGCATAACAATATTTATCATCGCGTGTATCTTGTTTGCTTAAGTGACGCAAACATATTCTTAACGTTATATAACTCGAAACGTTGCGACACAGAGTTGCAGTTCGTACGGGAAAAAAACCATATTACTCGTTAATTGCTAAGAAAATCCTCAAGTCTATCTTTTTAACCCCTTGACATACAATGACGTCTGGGAGACGTCATTCATTTCATGTACTATTGTAGACTTTAACGTCTCCAAGACGTCAAGAACTGTCTCCGGTGACGCCGTACAGTATATTATTAGATTATTCAATTATTTCACTTGTGATTATTCAATTATTGTTTCACAAGCTTGCACATAACTGTTCATTGAGCAAAATTAAATAGTATTTTTCGGACGCATCAAATTCCGTTTTATTTGTATGTCAAGGGGTTAAGCACTCTCTTAACACTAATTGACTTTTCCTCTCGCGGTCAATACTTACGTATTTCGTGGCGCAGAATTTTTGCAGTGTTCTCGTGATAACCCCGGGTCCATTGTTGCCCCACAAATCGCCGCGAAAATTTTTCTTGAGATCTCGCACGCAGGCGTCGGCGATACGCCGGCCCAATTGCGACATGTCGAAACCGATGACACCGGCGGCAACGTCATCCCAATCTTCGGCACCAGCGAAATTGGTCAGATCTTCCAGCGAGCTGGTAACCACCACGTCCAAGTCCAGATATATGCCGCCGTACTTCCACAGGGTCAGGTAGCGCAGCACGTCCGACATATGGCTGTTGGGCCAACGGCTCTTCTTCAGCGCACCTTTGGCGTACCACGCCTCCAACGGCGTGTACTTGACGTAGCTGTCCGGCTGAATGTGCCGGATCTTGATGTTACGATAGTTGAGCAAGTGGCTGACGATCTCCCGGGTGCCGTTCGAGAACTCGGACTTACTCACAAACAGCAGGTACACGGTCATAGACGGATTCATCCGCGCCGCCGATTCCACGGCACAGGCTTGCCGAGCATTTAGTATGAGGCCTTCCTCGCCGAAGCAGGAAGTCTCATGGAAAAAAATATTCCGACCTGGCTCCAATTTGTCCACACCTGAAGCATAAAACGTTGCAGAACGAATATTTTCATTTTCTACTCTCAGCGAGAAATCACTTGTCGAATCAACGTCAAATCGACGTCGATCCCATGTAATTTCCGACACCGATTTGACATGAATACGATTCGATGTTCATTTTTCGTTAGACTATTTCGTTTAAAAAGCGATATTAAGAGCGAATGTTGAGATTAACCACATATAAGAATCTATTTTTTATTTAATATCTGATAATGTTTCATAATTTTTTATGTAATTTTTGATTATGTAATTTATAAGATACAAAAATGAGTAATTCGCAACATATTTTATCAGAGAAAATGTGACGAAACGTGTTCAAGCCATATTGAAATGGAGTTTACAACTATATTTTCTAATAATAATTAGACACTGAAACATTCACGAAAAATATCGTACTCGATTCTGGTTCGAAGTCACGGATGCCTTCCGCCGTCGAAGCTTCATTGTAGCACCTGATACCGTAAGCTGTGGCGTCGAAGAAAGGTATCTTTTGGCGAACACTCTCAGTCGAGACTATGATATATATAAAAAGCGAACTGGCCAAGATAATGCCGCATAATAATCTTCTCCTCATTTTCTTGCAGCTGCTTGTTTGATTATGCCGTCGAGTTAATGTCACCGATTTGTCGCGACATGTTTCAAACAGACGGTGTTACCTATAGGAAATGCGTGTGAACATCTCCTTCAAACGTTCGCCGTTCCCTTGTAAATAGAATTAAAAAATTGAATTAATGGAGTTTCCGACTGACTATCCCAAACACATCTCAAATTCTTCCGTTGTTTCACTAAGTGAAGAAGTATCTCGAGATATTGTATCGAATTCGATTTATTGACATCTACTGCGATTGTTCTTGTGTACTTGCAAGTACCTTTTTAAATGTGAACAGTTACTGAATGAGATCCATATTCTGAATGTTTTTTTTTTATCGATAAAAGGTACCTTAAATGTGGCTCTTCTTAGACAATTTTAAAAGCATTTTTATCAATAAGAGTTTAGAATACGGCCCTAAGTGGAAACGATAATCACACACAAGTAACTATGGATAATGTTATCGCGGTGTTATATGGAAAATCATAGAACATTCTCGAATGACAAAATCACGGGATCTTTTGAAGTCTTGTTGAAAAAAACAAAATATATATCAGCTCTCTACATTAAGTGATACGAATGTTTGACGAAATAAATCACTGACTGCATCAGGCGCGCAAATATAAACAATGCACACTAAATCAAACTTTTTATCATACCGAAATAATCCCACTTCACAATGTGAAAACCTAAGTATGATGAGTGCAATACAACTGACTGTCGTGTGCGATGAACATTACTGTAGGTTATACGTAGGTTATGTTAATGTATGTTAATTATGTTAATATACGCGCGCAATCCTAAAAAAACCGCGTTGACTAAAGGTCTGTTCGTTTTCGCTGCGCCGCCGAACTAGTGCAATAAGTTGAAGTGAGAAAGCATATACTTGTCTCGCTTCAACTTATTGCATTAGTTCAGCGGTGCAGCGAAAACGAACAGACCCTAAGATCTTAAGCATTTGTTTGCTCTCAACGACAAAATTTGACGAGTTCAAAGTATCAAAGATTTAACATTACCGATAAACATTTAATTTTGCGTGTCGCGAGAATGACAGACGAACGAAAGAATCTTTATAGAACGACCCGTTGGAATCTCGGTAAGGCGATGCCATGTGCGATAAATCTTGTCACGGAAAATCCAATCGTGCAGGATACTCGGAATCACACTGCGACAGTTTTACATCAGCTTGTATTCCGCTTGAGAAAAAGGATACGAGACAAACATAAATATATCCAAAGTCCGAGAATATTAACGACGCGCGACAGACACACCTCACAATCCCCCCCAATGGAACGTCATTAACGAAACTCGACCAACAAACAAGCTGTTATTTTAAAATGATACCAATCAGTCGATTTACGTTCATTATCACGTCGATTGCGATCGCGCTATAGGTCGTAACGACCGGGACAATTTGTGCGTCTTCTTTCACTTCCCAGTTGCCGAATATCTGCCTGATATCATGACTCTGGATCCGCGTGTCTGTTTGACAGTAAAATGAGACGAATTGAGACACGATGGGAGAAGCTGAACGCGAGATCGGCGGTATCAATCAATGGAACGACCTAAACGTGATTTTCGTCGACTCGCTCAGAGAGCATTAAACCACACGCTGTGTTTTCCAACAGATCGTCTCGACGTACCGCTTTTCCACTCCTATCGATCGTCCCTCCGACAGCTGACGTGGTCCGATAGATTCGGCACGAAGAGGTACGTTAGTTGTTACAACGGTGTCGTCGACTACGCGGCGTGCACATTTCCCCCGGGCATTTTCTCGCGACTAAGCGAGAATGATTTTCCGCTAGTGGATATTACCCCTCAAATGTATCACCGTGACGCATGCGTGATGACATCGATGCATCGTCGCGGACGGCCAGATTGGGGTGAATTTTTGCGCTCTCTCCTCCTGACGCGGTCCGAATACCCGAGTCGACATTTTCGCCCTATGTTGAGCCTACTTTCACCCTAGTGATGCCTTAAAGTTCCGCTTTCAGCATTAAAATGGATCGTCAAAGTGGAAGTAGTTGGTAAGTCTTACTCCACGAGAATATCCGTGGAATCGACTTCACGTGGATGTTCTTATTAAGAGCGTCCAAATTTCGACTCGAGATACATCCAGCATGAGAGATGGACGCAGGATAAGCGAACAACGCCCTAACATTTACTGGAGTCTGATTTTTTCATTTTGTTTAAAATACGAACTCGCATGTTGCTCGATAATCTACTTTGCATCTTAAAAAAGGAAAGTAATATTCCTGGCGACACATTAAATGGTTTTTATTATTGATTACAATTATTAATATGCATATTGTTAGTTCCTGCCTTTGTCTACGTGCTCATCGTATTGCAATTATGTTATTCGAGAGATATGCAGAAGCAAGATCTACTTGATTCTGTAAATCTTTGTAAAAATAAGACAAGTGCAACAAGTGAAATGGACTATATAAGTTCATTTAGCAATATTAAACGACGGGACTGATATTCAGCTTTTTCGCGTCCTCCAGCAACTTCTGCACCATGGCGGTCCATTCGTCCGGACGGTTCTCAGTATACCATACGACTATCTTCTCGACGTTCTGCTTTTGTATATCCGTACATTTGCGGCATTTCGTTACAAACGCTTCGGCGGCGTGTTCTATGAAATGTGAAGTCTTTAATCATCCAAATGTTCCGGTCCTTTTTCTTTCTTTTCTAATCGATGGAAATTTGATGCAGTTTCATGTTAACAAATATTATTATTAATTGCTAATTATGAGTTTTTTTATGTGTAAAAAGAATATTTAAACAGATATGGTGCAGTATTTAGACACTTTTAATTTAAAAAAAGTCAATTTAATACTTTTAGTAATGATACAAAATCGTTATCAAAACTTCTACTTTATCACGGCAACGAAAACAGCAGAAATATCAAATATACATTCCGATATCATTTAATGCTCATTTAAATATTGTGACTGTCAGAAACACATTTTTAATAAAAAAAAAAATAATAATAATAATCGGATAATTTTTTTTTTGGTGATGGTCGCAAAATCGTCGTAATCAAAACATGTATTTGTTATTGCCGTAACAACGAAAATATCAAATATACATACAACTATCATTTTTGAATATCGTCGTGAAACGATGCGTGAAACAGAACTTAAACCGCATGAACTACCAGGTGTACCGGTATGAAGTGAGCGTCAAAATACAAATGTCTCGATAGGGAATATTTATTTTGAACGGGCCTTAATTTTGTTTTGTTTGGTTTCTATGACATCTATCAAACATATTCAGTTTACATCAAGTTATTGAACAAACAACATCATATTTTTTCATCGTGTTAAAAATGTCGAATTTTGTACCAGAAAATGATGATTTGCGGAAAGCATTAATTTTTTGTTTTCATTTGAAGAAAAGTGCTGCAGAGTCGCATCAAATGCTTGTCGAGGCATATGGTGATCATGCTCTATCAGAAGCAACATGCAAAAGATGGTTTCAACGGTTCAGAG